AAAAGAGCCACACATGTGATCAGGGACTTGCAAGGCAAGCCATACGAGGAAAGGCTGCGGGACCTGGGCCTCTTTAGTCTAAAGAATAGAAGGTTGAGAGGGGACTTGATAGCGGTTTACTCTATATCAGAGGAGTGCATTAGGAGCACTCGGTGAACAACTGTTCACTAAGGCACCCCTGGGGAAGACCAGGACCAATGGATACAAACTCCTAGAAGGCCGCTTCAGGCTTCATACCAGGAAAAACTCCTTCTCTGTCAGGGTATCCAGACTGTGGAATAAACTCCCTCCAGAGATGGTGCAGTCACTTACCCTGGAGGTTTTCTAGAGGAGACTGGACAGTCACTTCGCTGGGGTCACCTAACCCCAGCTGTCTTCCTGGTTAGAGCAGGAGGGCTGGACCCGATGATCTGCAAGGTCCCTTCCAGCCCCTAACAATCTATGAATCTTGGTTCTGCCTGCTGGGCCGTGAAGGCCCCAGGGGAAGGGCAACAGGACAGGGAGCCTCAAGCCCACAGTGGGCAGCCTGCATCCATTTCTCCATGGACTCCACTGCAGCTGTGCCACCCACAAGGGTGTTGGGGGTAACCAGGTTCCATGCCCTGCTCCAGCTGCAGCAACCACCACCTCCGGCAGGCAGCAGCCAGGGCTCAGGTGCTGCTGGGAAGGGCAGGGGGCTGCATATCTTGGGCCTGGCCCCATGGCCCTGGCAGCTGGAGGACCCCTCACCTGTCTGGTGCAGCCCACATAACACATTGAGACCTGCAAGTGTGGCCTACTATGGCAAACAGGTTGAGAACCATTGGCTTAGGCTACCAGGCACAGCTAGAGAGAAGGCAGAAAAAGCCAGAAAGACCAAGGCCCTGACAAGGGCGTGAAGGCCTGAGGAGGCCTGGCATGGTACTGGGGGCAAGATGCCCCATTGGAATGAGAACTGATAACCTCTATGAGGCATGGGCATGGCTGTAGGAGTAGAGGAGACCATGAACAGCTTTTAAGGCGGGGTGGGCAATTATTTTAGCCGGAGGGCCACTTAATGAGTTTTGGTGAGCTGTCCCTTGACAGGTCCCCTGCCCCCTGGTCACTATCTTGGGACTGGAAGTCCTGCCCCTAATCTCTGACTTTTGCCACCAGAAGTCCCTCCCCTTGTCCCTAGAAGTACTCCTTTTGGGAGGGGGAGAGGGGAAGACAAATCATATGCTAAAAATCAAGCATCTATTATAGCATATTTTAATTTGATTTCAAAAAATATTTTTGTCTTGATTTACATGCATTTGCATAGTGTATATAGAGGTGATTGCATAATAACTCAAACTAAAGTCTTACTCTTGTATATTGTGTGTGGGGTGTGGTGAGGGGATGTGTTTGTGTGAGTGTGGGGTTTGTGAAGAGGTGTGGTTGTGTGTGGGGAGAGGGTGTGGGAGAGTGTGGGGAGGGGGCTGGTATGGTTGTGGGTGTGTGAGGTGGTGTGAGGAAGGGTGAGGGTATGGGGGAATGTGCTCCCCCACATGCCCTCCTCCTGGCATATAGGCCCTGCTGGCAGCATCAGCAGCAAGTGGCAGGCCCTCAGGGCACTCATGGTTTGTACAGGCAGGTCCCCCAGTGGCACATGGCTGCAGCCATTTCTGGGAGCTGCATGTGGCAGTAAGGAGCAGGACCAGGCTGGCCCGGCTTCAACGTACGGAGCTTCCTGCATCTCACGTGCAGCTCCTGAAACCTGGCCAGAGCTGGGTGCCACAAAGGAGGAGCCCCATGCTATGGAGGTAGTGGCCTGGCCCCACTCCCTGCCACCACGTGCAGCTCCTAGGACTCTGCTGGGAAGAGGGGAGTGGGCCTGAGCCAGCCTGGCTCCATCATATGGTGCTCCCTGTCACTTCTGGCAGAGTCCCAGGAGCTGCACATGGTGGCTGGGGGCAGCTGATGGCTTTATTGCACGGGGCTTCCCCCCAGTGACAGACAAGTCCTGGGATCTGCACATAAGCCACAGGGAGCCCCACACAGTGGAACTGGGCCAACTCAGGCTGCACACTCCTGTAGCCTTGCTGGGTGCGGACCCTGGGCTCTATGCTTCTGCCCAGCTGCAACTTCTCCCCACCCCCCCAGTGTTTCCCTACCTGCTGCCCAGAGCACTGCAGCAGGAACATAAAGAGGAGCCAAGGGAGCCGAGCAGTTCCCCCAGCAGTGGCCTCACCTGGAAGCTGTGTGCTGGCTGGACCTGGGGCTTTCCCCTGCACAAGGGTGGGAGCACAGTGCACTTCCCCGGTGGGAGTGGGCAGAGCTCAGGTCTCATGTGAGTGCAGCAGGGGCAGCTGCAGGCCACTCAGGATACAATTGATTCATGGGCACCTACCTGTGGGCCAGACGAAATGGCCTGATGGACCAGATCTGGCCTGCAGGCCGTAGTTTGCCCACTCCTGCATTATTAGGCAACAGGTGCTGTGGGGCATGGATGACAGTATTAAGGACCAGGAGAGTCTGAGATGGACCTGCTGGCCAAATGATGGGCAGCAGGTTGCTCTGGGACCTGAGGGCAGCTTCCCTTTTCACAATCAACTAATCAAGGCACAACAGGCAAGAGAAAAAGGAGGGTACCTGGGGAGCCAGAGTGGGACAGGAGTCATGTGGCCACCAAGGGGCACCATGGCTGTTCCAGGGCTCAGTTGTACTAACAGTGCTAGCAGGAAGCCTTACAAGAATCTCACAGCACCCCAGAATGCTGCAGCATCTTGGTTGAGAATCACTACACTAGTCCCTCAAATTCCTATACTCATGCAGATGTAAGGGGTTTGCAGCAATGACTGGTGATTGACATGAAATTTGGAATCCTTGTCTCTCAATGACCTCTTGAGGTTCCTTCCAGCCTTATTTCTCTATGAAATAACTATCCAGTAATTCATGACATGGGGTCCAGAGAACATGAGAATAGCAGGAGCAATCCTATTTATTGGCATACTAGAAGAAGTGATGTTGTAATGGTCCAACCCAGTCCTGCTCCATGCAGAACATCTTTTTTTATTTTTAAAAAGCAAAATAGCACTAGAGCATTGGGCATTCATACACATGCTCTAGGAGTTCTCGGAGGGAGGGCAGGGGCCCTTTTATTAGAGTGGCTCCAAGAGGTGCTCTAATTAAAGTGCCCAGAGCATCTTGTGTATCAGTGTCCCCACACTTAAAAATGGTGGCAGGGATGCTTTATCTAAAGTTCATCATATAAGCCTTAGATAAAGTGCCCCCACTGCCATTTCTAAGCATGGGGACACCGATACATGAGATGCTGGAGTCTGCTAGAGCACAGTAATGACCACGGTCCAGCAGACTCGATTAATTACAGTGCATTGGAGCAGCTTCGCTGCTTGTGTATAGATGTCCATTGTGTCACCTACATTCCCCCTCCATAGCTACTTAACCGTAGATTAAACCTCCTCTGTGTATTCATGCAACAGATCATTTTAAACCCCGGGTTGTGTTTGTGGGTCATAAGGATGAACATCTTAATCTAGAGATGCGTACTTTAACAGGAAGGTCCTTGACAACTGGTTTCTTCAACTGTGGAAGAAAGGAGGAAAGAGACAAAGCAAGAAGCAAAAGTGTTTGTTCTAGTTAGCGCAAAAACATTTTTACTTATGTTTTGTAGCTGTGTAAGGGTTGCTTTATCTTCAAGGATTTAGCTGGGAATTAATATTTTAGATCATTTGACCATGACTAATGTGCATACTTGTTCTGAATTCTTAGGATTTTCTTACTTAGAAAAACTAACCACTTTAAAAATCAGAACCTATGATTATTAATTAGTTCTGGGTATTTTTGACAAGTACTCATGTCCAGGTTCCCATGCTTTTGAGCTCATGCTTGTCAGGCAAGCCTGGAAGCATCTACACTGCAAAGCCACAAGAGCCATACAAATTACACATGCACATTCATATCCACACTGGCACTGCAGTTACCTGGGGATGGTTCTATCATTTTGAGAGATATATCTCATTAGTCTTACCACCTTGCTGCCTGTGGCTGCTCGAAGGATCAATTCACAACATGTTGTGGGAGAACTTATTTGTCCTTCCCAGATAGATTTTTGTTCTTACTCCACTAACACAATTAGCCAAGGTACTTCCTGGTCTGCACATTTTTTATTCTAGCTAGTCACAGGTCATGTCTGATAAGCTGTTTCTGCTTCTGTCTACACTGTTACTGCCTAGAGCAGGATGCAGAGGGCATGTGAGATGGTGGAGGATATTTCAATACCAGTTTCTAACCATCAGAAAGCACTGACAACTCTCAGAGGCAAGTTTATTCAAGGCAGAGTTGACTCTTGTTGCATGCTGCAGTCACTATAGATTTCCTAATTGTCTTGCTTCTGGTGCAGTAGACCAGTACAAGATGATAGGCTCTCATTATCATGCAGCTCTGAGATGATAAGCAGTATCCTCATACCTTCACGATGCTGTGCAAGGAGCCTGTCCCAACCCTTCAGTACCAGGAAATACAAAAGGGTTGGTTTTATCACCTAGAATCTGGCTACTCCAGATCATTCTGGGTCCACGGTGTTGGCAAGTCAACTGTCAGTGTTGTGGTAGTGAAGGTTGGAGCTGACTTGTGAGATGATTTAGACAGTGGTTTACCCACATGGTGATGGGCAAAACAAATTTGCTTGAAATAACAGCTGGCTTTGAAAGCTGACTTCTCCATCTGCACTGCATTTTGTGAATATACTATTGCTAACCAGAAAAGGTATTGCGCTCCTTTACTCTGAAGACCTTGGTCAACCACAAAGGGAATTTCATCAGCATAAATGTGGGATTTATCTGTGGAGTGAATGACACAAGGGTTGTAAAGAATTCTAGTATTTATCTGTTGGGGCAAGCAGGAGACTTATTCCATCCAACTAATGTTGTCTACAGGTTTAGGAGAACGTGCCTGCTCTTTATTGTTTTGGTAGTCTACCAAATTCTTGATTTTACTTTCCAGTAACTATATTGGCTTTCGGAGGAGAGAGCATGAAGAATTTGTGGGCAATGGTGATGGTTCTGGAGCTAGTAGCAACAATTTGGTGACCAGCAGAGTGAACAGATGCTCAAACAGGTATTATGGCAATGCTGTGAGAAATTGTACTACCACTCTTTC